TTCTTTAGGTTTTTAGCATTACTTTGAAACGTTTTAAGTCATATTTCTGTGAAAATTGAATGGAATGTAAAAGTAACTGTTAAAGTCAACGGAACTACAGGTCAGATTCAAACAAGTAAAACTTAGTATAAAGATATAAGTTTACCACGAAATATTCCTACAATTCTTCTGATACAAAGTGATAAAAAAAGCATGGTCGAAAACAAAAGAGATTTTGGTCACTTTTTCTAAATTATACTTTTGTTTGTTTGTTTAAGGTTAAATACAAAGCTACATAATGGGCTATCTGTGCTGTGTCCTCCACATGTATTAAAACCACCGTTTTTAACGATGTAAGCCCGCGGACATGCGGCTGAGCCACTTCTATTAATTATGTAGTTGCACGTGCTACCTTGCAAAGCTTTTCCTAAGCATATTTTTTTCAACTACACAATTATATTTTAACGTCATAATTTTTTAATACATGACGCATTATTGCACCTCATATATACAGGCCTAGTAACAAATTATCCATAAAATAAAGAATATTCTAGTAAATATATTTATTTATCAACTCTGGAATGGAATTTTATAATTGTATATATATTTTTAATATCTATCCACTTGAACTTACTTAAGTAAGTGATTACACAACTACAAACATATTTTTACAGGTTCACAGTACATGATCAACTGCATATTAGGAAAACACCTGTAACGTTTTATAATTAATTTAAATAGCATCTCAGCTAGGAGCGGTACAGTTGCTATCTTTTCGAAGTACGTTCATAGCAGCTGAGTACGGTACAGGTACTACCGTAACAGCATTTATCTGGTGTGTAAAATAAAAAGTGGCCTATTTTTTTTTAATAACGCTGACGCTCACGTACCTGAGAAATAGCGCCCTCATTTTTAACACCATAAAAACTGTTGACAGACGACATGAGCATAATATTGAACTCGCACGTCAGAGGTAATTGGTTATTTTTTTAGTATTCATAACTCGCTATAGGCCTCGTGTAAAATGAAGCGTGTATGTAGAAACACATTAGTTTTGATGATGTGAAAAACCAATACTTTATTTTTCTTGGAAGGAGGTTAAAGGAACAAGG